CTGCAAGATGTTGGGCGTAGGGTTGGCTTCCTCTTTAGCTCTGCGAATCCTTTGTAAGCGGGGCCAGGAACATTCAGGCTATCCCGCAAGAGTTGGTGAGGCAGCAGCGCTGCAATCCCGGATGGCTGGCAGATTCCAAATGTCAGCATGGGCATTTGTTGCAGAGCTTGGCCTTTATTTGCCTGGGTCAGGAACTCCAACCCATGCCATGTCCCCAACGACATGGTGCCCGTGTTTCGGGACAAGAAAGCTTTTGCTTGCGTAGAGCGATGCATTTCCACTCAGATTAAGAGTGGCCAGGCGCAACTTGTGTAAAAGGTAGTGTTCATGTAAGTGTCAAAGATGTCAGCTTTGCTTTTGCAAGTCAGATTGATTCTCTCAAGTTTCGTCCCGGGAGTCGGGCCCCCCAACTTTGGAACGAGGCTTACCGGACGCGCGGGCCTACAAGAGCGCAGCGGCCGCTTTCCACGAGATTGCCGAGGGCTGTGCAGAGGCGAGGGGCGTCTGAGATGGACATTGTGCACTTTGCGGCACTGCATTATTTTGCAGTTTGAGGTCCGGGCTCAACATCAGGGTTGTGGGATGAAGGGGTTTATCCAACCACTTCTGTGATACAAGGGAATCTCCCCCTTTATATTGGGGGTTAGTCTTTGGGAAGCCCTTTTTTTGTATCACAGAAGTGGTCATTTCCCCCAGGCCTGCTCAACATTGATGCCCATGTGTGTCAATCAGGAGACGCTCGGACACCGCTATCCTAAGGTTCTCAGCATGAGATCAGAACCCCTTTCATTAGAAGGAAATTCCAATGGGCCCTTTGGCTTTGACCCAAGGTCAGTTGAAAGTGAAACCAGACTGAAGCCAATGCCATTTGGCTATGAATGGTTGGTTTTCATCAACATAGCAGCCCCCCACCGAAAACACATCAGGGTGACCATTTCAGGCAACCCATGCATTTAAAAGGGAGAGAAGGGCGCGTCGCGTCAAATGTATGGCCCATCAAGCTGTTGGTGATTCCAGACCTCACACCCTCCCCATCAGCCCAACCCCACCCCAACCCCACCCAATCTCAAGCCATCCAACCTCCAACCCCCACCCCAACCCCAACCTCCACCCAAACCCCAACCTCCACCCCAACCCCAACCTCCCCCCCAAATCCCACCCCGTCTTCCCACCCCACCCCTCCCCCCCCCCACCCCTCGCCCGCCCCCCCCCAACCCGCCAAGACGCCAGGTGATCACCGAGGCCACGGAGGCCTTCCTCGGCACCGGGGCCGGGGACGCCTGGCGCGCCTTGGCGCAGCAGCGCCTCCTCGGCCTCGCGGAGAGGCGCGTCCGCGCGTCCGCTCGCGTGCCGCGTTCGGGGGGGTGGACTTGGGTGGGGAGGGGTGCGGCAGATGGGAAGGGGGGGATGGCTTGTGGAGTGGGTTGGAGGCTGGATGGCTTGAGGTTGAAAAGCTCGAGGGTTTCTGGTGGGATGGCTTGGGGTTGGGATTGAGGGTGGAGGGCTGGAGGGTTTTTCTGAAAGCAAAGCGGGTTGGGGTCTCCGAAATTGGTAGAACGATTCGGGTGGGCTGCAAATGTGAAGGGTCTGAAGATGAATATATGGGATGGTATTTGTTTGAGGGCACCTTGTTCGGCTGTTTTCAAGGGACCCCAAAGCGAAAACCACCAGGTTGGGGGGTAAAAGACACACCCCGGCGCCATTGTGTCCAATTTTGGACAGTACCCCTCATGTCGCTAGGGCTTCCCTGAACATGCAATTGCCCCCCGCAAACAGCAACCTTGCAACAACAGAAACGCGATGTCCCTTGTGGCCGGTGCATATTCAGTGCCTGGGGACTAAAGCTGGGGTAAGCCAGTGGCCGCTCGCATTGCAGGCTCGCGGAAGCCAAAAGCACTGCAGAGTACCAGGCAGGGCGCAGGTTGAGCGGCAGGGCCCTAGGATCATGAAAATCAAGCCTTACCCTCCTGCAGATTAACATGACCCCCGCCCCCCAAAGGCATCATTTTTAGAGGAACCTTCGTTTTGGGGACCTCATTGTTGGGGTTGCATGTCAGTTTGTAGGGGGGTCAGTGGCCAGATAGTAGTGATTGTCCTTATGTTGTCAGTTCCCTGCAATAGATATTTGCGGATTACCTACAGACGAGGACGATTATAGGGAATCCCTCCCCCGGCTTGAACAACCAGTTAAACTTAAAGTGGGATCATGCGATTTCCATTTCTCCGTTGGCTGGGCAGGTCGTGTTACGTGCCTCAGGTTTTGCAGGAGGCCGGCTTGGAAACTTCAAAAAACCCAGAAGCCATTTGGAATAGTCCAGCTGAACAAAGCAACAAGAGGCCATAAAAGTAGCCCGCCAGGCCAATTGAGGCCAGCCCTGTACACACTTTGTCTACAGTAGGGCCTACTGTATTCATAAACACGTCGCCATCTGATTTTGGCAGAATGCTACATGGGTGTGTGTGTGTGTATTTTTCTTGGGGGACCCCCCAAAATGGTGGTTTCCGTTTGGTTTTCCAGTAAAACCCGTACCCAAACAGAATATCCAAAAACAGAGACACACCCTCCCCCCCGCCCAGATGAGATCTGCATCCATGGCTTGAAGCGTTTTCAGGCTGGGGATTTGCGAATGGCAGACCGTCATTTCGGTGGGGATTTGTCCACCAACCACTTGGGGGTTCCCCATGGTGCATTTAGGTGGGGATATGTGGATGTGTGTCCACCAACCGCAACCACATAGTGAGGGTTCCCCCAAAAATTGTGCGCAGCCAACTAGGGGCCATTCGCCTGGGACTGTTTGACCCATTGGTGGCATTCGCAAGTGAGCCGCGTGCATGAACAGCTTTGGGGGGGGGAGCAAGGCGGCCTAGCTGGGACTCGCCTTTTGCAGCTTAAACGCGGTGCTAAGTAGCCCCACTAGTTCTCACCCCACCCCCACCCCGCACAACAAACCGAATCCCTCCATCCATCCACGCATGTGCGGCTCAGCTTGTTAAAGGGAAGCCCAAAGGAAAGCAAGCATAGCTACTTTTGGAAACGTGCACGTACACCTCATGTTGTAAACCCATTCTTGTTTTCCCCTTGTTTTACCGTGGTCTTTCTGAGCTGAATCCAAATTTCCCGAAGCTTTCTGTGTGGTTGCCCTTGGTTTTCCCCTGAACCCTAATATTGACCAGGATTAATAAACCCCTCCCATTATTGGGGAGGTGTTCCCTCCAAAAGTGATGAATCCCCACTAAAAGGGGACACCCCGTATGAGTCAACCAGGGGTTGATTAACGCGGGGTTAACAATGATGGGTAACAAAATCCTGCACCACCTAAGAAACCCTGGAAGGCTGATTCCCCCGCAACTACCAAAGACAAATGGTTTCAACCATGGTTTCAAAGTGGTGCGAATTGGATTTCATACATCCAAAATATGGCTAAGCGTCAAACACGCGACATGCCAAATTTCGAGGCCTTCTCGCCCCTTGCAGCGCTGCGTCAACTGCTGCCCTTCGGCTCCATGGACGCCGCCAGGCTGTACGGAATCGATCGAGTCGATCGGGGAACCGAACTGAGATCTTCAAAGGCAACCCTCAACTCAGTTGGGTTGGCACGGATTTTTGGATTTGAACTTCCTGGTTGTAGAGGGTACATGGGATCTTGGCCCGGAGTTGGATTTGATTTTTCGGGTTGAAGAGGGCTGGGAAACCGCCCCAGCACCAAGCCACCGGGCTCCAAACCGCCAGCTAAACCTTGGATTTGTTGGTTGAAACGTGCTGGTTGGTTTTCGGGGTGTTTGTCCAACAGGTCAAAAGCTGTTTGGGCAGGGTATGTTTGGTCAAAGTGAATGAAGGCAAAGGGGCAGTCTCAGCTGCAGATGCAGATATCAGATATCCCCCCTTTTGATTCTTTGCGTGGCTTTTGGTCGACCTGGCGCACCGCGCTGGCGCTGGGCGCTGCCCATTAGAAGGGGCCAAAGGGCCCTCCGGCCCGGTTTCTCCTATGACGAGGGGTGCCAGATTTCAAGGCAGCAATACCTTCGAGGGGGTCCCCGTTTCCACTCAGCCTGGAAATGAGGAGGAGGCACCTCCAAGAGTAATTTCGAAAACCCTTCACACCCTTCACCATGTTCACTTCTTGAGGGGTCCAAGCCCCCCCCCCCCCCAACAACAGGCAGCTGGTTCAGCAGGAGGCGGCCTTTGAAGCTGCAGCCAGGGTCTCAGCCCATGGTGGAAGCGCCGTATCTCATTGTGGGAAGCGCCAGTGGAACGAGAGGTTAGGCATGGCATGGCCCACTTGGAAGCCCTTTTTCTATCGGTATCCAGGTTGCCCAGTAGTGCCCTTTCTCACCCTTTTTTGGGGGAGGGTTCCCCTACCAAAATTGACTACAGAAAAAAAGGGTACCCTTATTCTGACCTCTCTACTGGAGGACTTAGTATCAGTTTGGATGCGCGCCTTGCCTTTGTTGGGAGCATGGCTTAAAAGAGTATGAAAAGAGGGGGCTTGGCCGCGGTACTCGGTGTTTGAGTTGCGCGAAAGCTGTCCAAAGCGTTGGGGATCCAAGCGCATGGCACTTGTGGCTGGCGCGTGCCCTAATGGTCGGCGGGAGCTCAAGCGAATCAGCCGACATACCAAACACAGAGGGCGCTGACTTCAATCAAGATGGTGGTTGCGCGTTTGTGCACGGCTGCTTGCTTTGTCCCAGTGCTTGTGATCTTGGCTGCCGGTATAGTATCATGAATCTAGCTGGGCTCACTTCGACTTCAAACTTGTGTGTCAGATCATTTGAGTGGTAAACCAAAGTCGCGCCTTGTTGGGACCAATCTACTCAACCAATGTTTGCTTGATTTGTTTTAATGTTTCCATGGATCGGACAAGCACCGAGTGGACCCACGTTCTTTTGTCTAATGCCCACCCAGCCGCATCTGGGAAGGAACCAGGAACGGATTCATCCAGTTGATTGCGGGATTCAACAGGAGATCCTTGACTTCGGTGAGACCCCATCCCCCCTCCCCCACCATTCACCCATTTGAAGTTGTGCGGGGCTGTTTGCGATACCCCCCGCTGCGAAAGTTAATTTTAGTCTGGAAGTTCCTGGCACGCAAAACGTCGCTGGGCAACTGGGCCACGTACACCGCTCGCGGCACTCTTTTCTCAAGTGTTGTAGCATGCGCCCGCAGGGCACCACGACTTTATGCGGCTAGATGGTTTGCGGCATGGCCAGAACTGGCCATAGCCTACTTGCTCAAAGGCATGAAACGACTTGGTATGACCAGTGCTCGACTGGCTTACTTCTTCAATCCGGATCCGCAGGATTTTCCATGGTCTGCGACGACTACTTTCTAGAGGCCCAACAGAGTTCGAGCTTCCTGTTTCGTAGGGACGGAGACACACGAGCAAGGCTTCGGATTTAGTTTGCATGAACGACATTGAAGACGGTCGCTGGAGAACATGTGGTTTGCTCAAGGGTCCTCGTACCCTAAAGGAGTACCGCTTCAGGGCTGTATTGCGATGAACCGAGGGATTCCTGCTCCCTACTTATTGGCTTACCGGCTATAAACCGTATGATTCCAGACAGCCCAACTTTTCGGAAAGCTATCGTGCCTCTCGGATGTGCATTGCATGCCACTCAGGGAGAGGCGATGGATGTGTGCAGCTTGCTGTGCGAGTTCGCCGCCAGGTAGGGCTTGGGAGGGGGGCAGAAGAAAGAACCCAGAGGTTCCCTCAAAAATCAAGGACGCGCAAAATAGTCATATGACACACGTTGGGAACTCTACCCCCCTAGAGGCCTGTGGACGAAGAGGGGCCTCAAGCCTTGCTGGACTTGCGCCTTGAGGCTTCAAACGCTCCAAATGTCTTTAGAGGGTGGCTTGTGTGGATCCAGTGGCCCGCTTGCCCAAGACAAGTCGACCTCTCTTACCTAAGCTGGTCCCAGGATATAAAAGGGGCATAGAGTCTATTGCACAGGAGCTCGGTCAAACTGTCCGCCATTGGGGCCATTTCGGAGGCCAGGGGGCTCCCGAGCTTTGCTTGGCTGGGGGTCCTGAATTTGGGAATCAAATCCTTCCTCAGACCTATTAAACATTGACCCTCTGAACTAACCACATGTGCTTTTTTGGACCATGGGCCAGCGAGTTTCTTGAAACCTTCTTTCAGGTTCCTTTTGTCAGTCTCGAGGGTTGTGCCAGGCCCCTCGCTTGCGGATTTGTGTGCTTTTTTTTGTTTTTAAACGGCTCGTGTTCATGCCCCACTTCAGAGACCATGTTTTCTCAGCGGGGTGCAAACATTTGGGACACTTTCTCTTTGCACAACCCCCCAGGGGATGATCGAGTTGCAACTGTCCACTTTGTGCTTTGTTTGTTGAAGCTGCCGCTGTTCAAGATCTGGTGGGGCAGTTTGCAGTTTGCCGTAGTGCAGCAAGTCCAAAGCTCTATTTGGCACCCAGACGGCTCAGTCAATTTGATATCTTGGCCCTACAAAGCTGCCGCAAGCGGGGGTAAAAAGTAAAGGTCCCAGAACACCTGCGCAGGACGGTTGGCTCCTTGCGCATAGGGGCTGGTGGGTTTGGGGTTTGCCCCCTATCCGTCGAAGCTTTTTGGAGGTCAACTTGAAATGTTTCCCAAAAACCCAAAAGAATCGGACGTATGCACACGCGCACGCACACACGTGTTCATGTTCTACTTTGGGACCAGACCCATTTTGGAGGGTTCTTTAAGCAAAACGCCGCAGGCCCCACGGCGTGGACGCAGGAGCAGAGGCTGCTCTGGCATCTTGACTGAGAAAAGCGCGCAACCAGCCTTGGCAAGTTGCTCGTTGCCCGCACCTTTTGTTGTTTGTTTGCGTGTGGGCATTCTTCAGTGGAAAATCCTTGAGCAGAAACTTGCTAATATCTATTTAATCCTTTTCAGCTTGGAATGGACCAAGCGTTGCGGGCTCATGGCCATGCATCCAGTTTTTGCTGAAATGGTACAATGCCCACGAGTAAATTGTAGTAGCGCTAGTTTTGTGTCGGAGATTGCAGGTCATGCGAAGGGAGTTGCCCAGATGTTCGCACACCTCAGCGTGTGAGTTTGGGCCCCCAAACTTTGCAGGCGGTTGTTTGGACATGTGTTTGTTTCTCGCGTTGCTTCGTTGGATTCTTAGTTGCGTGTGGCTGCAAAGACAGGCCAAAGCTTGTTCCTCACATGCCATGTGTAGGATTGCTAGCGGACAAGTATCATTGGCAACTAGCCACCAACGGCAGAAAGAGGAAGGAAGCCAATATCCAGGGTTGAGTAGATTGATGGGAAACATGCCGAGCTGACTTTGACACCCTCACAATCAACACAATCACCCCAGCCAGGGCCTCCGCTTGTTAGCCTCCTAAATGTGTGTGTGTCTTGGTTTGAGAGTGCCCTTGATTTGTCGTTTTTGGGGCAAACCACAGGAGGAACACCATTTTCAGGGTCCCAACCTCAAAGCGACACACCCAATGGCCCAACTGGGCAGATGTGTTTGAATTTCATTGGGCAACCCATTTTAGGGGTTATTCTAGTTTTGACCCACAGAAACATCTGCAAAACTTGCTGGTTCTCAGGGAAGGTGGCTTCCTTTAATCTAAGAGTTGATGGACCGCAGGTTGAAAGGTCCCTGTTTCCACTTACCACCCCATTTCGGGCATTCCCAACTATTTTGGACACCCAACCGTCCAACTGGCGGTTTCCTCTGTTTGCTGGTTGCTGGTTCCAAAAGATTTGCTAGTTTTCAGGGAATGCGAAAAATGGAATGACCCCAAACCATCCAACTGGTGCAGGTTGCGAGGTCCTTGTTTCCATTTGCCACCGCATTTTGGGGATATTTTGCCATTTTGGTCCCAACAACAGGGGTTCTCACCGCAGAAATGTCACCGATCTCCGCCGGCTGCCCGCTGCTTGACTGGCGGCCCGCAGGTCACCTGCGCGGCGGAGGCCACGATTCTGCGGGTGGCGCAGACTGCCGCGGCGCTGCTGAAAGACCTGGGCCGCAGCGACTTCCTGGCGGCGGGGGGGGGGGGAATCTGCCGGGGGGGGGAGGATTTTTTTTGGCTGACCAACCGAAAAGGGATGGTTTTGTGTTATTTGGGGTGTTTTTTGGGGTATTTGGTTGACTGGGGCGGCTGACTCAGGTAAGAAGGGTGGTTTGCTGGTTAGGGGTGTTTTCTTTTGACTGGGGTTTGGGTGGTTTGGTTTGGGATGGTGTCGCTATGTACCCTTAGAACAAGGGGGTTGGTGGTTTGGTTTGATTTGGGGTGGCTTCCTACTTGCCTGCCCTCTACAACCCGCTTGGTGGTTTGGTTTGGTGGCAACTGGGATTTGAACCGTAAAACCACCCCTACCACAATCCAAACAACCAATTGGAGAAGCTGACTGACGAGAGGAAGAGGGCAACCAAATAAAAAGCCCCCAGTCCTTGTGTAGGAAGTTGCAGCAAAATCCACGAACCTCGGTGTAAGCAAGAAAACGCTGCATACACTGGAACTTATTCTGTCCCCAGTTATTGTGACGCAATGCGCTGCAAATCGCACGCAATGAAAAACAAGCTCATCGAGTTCATCTCCACAACTTGCATGTTATATGCAATGCAATAGAAGCCGCAAGGCAGACTCGCAACTGCCAGGCCTTTCCGGAACGTTTACGCTTCCTGAAGCTCAGTGGGGCAAAGGAATCCAAAGGCATGGTTTGGCAGCACTAGATGGCCCATGCCCGAGTTGAGAAAGCGTCAATGCAAAGTACACTGCACTAAATGGAGATGCGCACATGACGATGGGGTTGCATGACTTGAGCAGGAACAGCTGACCAGTATGCATTGGCAAGTGTCCGACCTCGCAAGCAATCAGAACCAAATGTGTTGATGCATGAAGTCATTGCGTACCTACATGCAGAAAGGCAGGCACAAACAGAAGCACAGACCTACATGTGTATATGCATGAATGTGTGTGTGCACAGGTGTCTTTACAGGCTATTGTGTGTGTGCGCGTGTTTGCGTGATTCTTCGTGGGTGTGCGCTTGTAACTTCCCAAAATGAACACATCTGTCGCGGTGCGGCGGTGCCCACTGGCCGGTGCTGTCCACCAGCGAGTGGGCTTACTAGGCCGCAGGCAGGCCCCATGAAAATGCAGATGATGCAGGTGATGTCCGCTGACGAGTCTGCAGGTTGGCAACCTGCAGGGCTTACAACCCCGCTAGGCCGCAGGCAGGCCCCATGAAAATGCAGGTAATGCAGGTGATGTCCGCTGTAGGCCGCAGGCAGGCACCATGAAAATGCAGATGATGCAGGTGATGTCCGCTGGCGAGTCTGCAGGGGCAACCTGCAGGGCTTACAACCCCGCTAGGCCGCAGGCAGGCCCCATGAAAATGCAGGTAATGCAGGCGATGTCCGCTGTAGGCCGCAGGCAGGCACCATGAAAATGCAGATAATGCAGGTGATGTCCGCTGACGAGTCTGCAGGTTGGCAACCTGCAGGGCTTACAACCCGGCTAGGCCGCAATGAAAATTCAGATAATGCAGGTGATGTCCGCTGACGAGTGTGCAGGTTGGCAACCTGCAGGGCTTACAACCCGGCTAGGCCGCAGGCAGGCCCCACAGATAATGCTGGTGACGAGTCTTACAACCCCGCGGGCAGGGCAGGCCCCATGAAAATGCAGATGATGCAGGTGATGTCCACTGACGAGTGAGTTCTGCCGGTTGGCAACATGCAGGGCTTACAACCCCGCTAGGCCGCAGGCAGGCACCATGAAAATGCAGATAATGCAGGTGATGTCCGCTGACTCAGTCTGCAGGTTGGCAACCTGCACAGCTTACAGCCCGGTTAGCCTGCCCATGAAAACAGGTGCTTCAGGTGATGTCGGCTGACGAGTCTGCAGGTTGGCAAGCTGCAGGGCTTACAGCCTGGCAGGCCGCAGGCAAGCCCCATGAAAATGCAGATTACCTGCAGGGCTTGCAGCCCGGCTAGGCCGTCATCGCCAGCGCCACGTGTTCATTTGTTTTGTTTTTTTTTTTTTTTTTGCGCGTTAAACAGCATAGTTTTTAAACAAGTTAGCTGCTTTGAAAAAAGCTTACACGAGCACCGGCGCCAGTATCACCAGTATCACCAGCATCGCCAGCATCACCAACCTGCATCGCAGGCGTCACTCACATTCTTGCTGCTTTAGGCGTATGAGAAGCCTGGGCTGCTTTGAAACAAACACTACATTGGCAGCGCCGTGCCATCTTTCGCTGTTTGTGGCCTTGGCCTTGCTGGGTTCGAAAGGCCTGCTGGTTGCCAACCTAACTCATCAACCCCTGCTAGGCTGCAGCCTTGCAGGTTCCGCACCTGCAGACGCGCCGCGAGAAGGAACATGGAACCATCCGATTCCAAAACACTAGTACTAGTTCTTATGCTACCGCTCAGTCGCTTCGCTCCGGCTCGAATCGCCTCAGGCCCAAGCGCCTCGGCGGATTTGTTGTTTCAATTCCCGGACTGATGTTTTATTGTAAGGGACGTCTAGGGGTAAGGCACGTCTGGGGGTTGTTGGCTTCAACCCGTGAAACTGTACTCACTTTAGAGATTGCGTGCATGAGCCTTTTTATAGGGAGCACCCTCACAAGTGGTTGGTTGCTCCTGGAAATCATCAAAGTCGACCGATTTGCCCCCCTTAACCTGGCATAGGAGGCTGGAAAATACAAGCAGTCATTTCGCATGGTCATGAGACATTTGGTTGCACCACTTGCCGGTTGACTAATACAACCACAGGACCCAGGATGCCTGGGCTGGACAAAGGCCCTAAAAGCGAAGGCATGTTGTTCAAACCACGGGGTTTAACATGTTTGAAAAGTGACTTGAACTCTGTTGCCCAGTGGTAGGGTCTCCCTTTGAGCTCACCCAACAAATAAAGGGTACCCTTTTTTTACCCATGGCCACTGGGCATCTGAGTGAACATTTAGTGGTTGAAGCACGTTTAGACCAGTGCCGCCCGCCCTGCGCGCAAGTGGCGTGTTGGACCTGCCAGGCCCTGAAGCACAGCAAGGACGCAGCCCAACGAAAACATCTCCGAGAAGCTGCGCAGGTGGCCTTGCAAGACAGCCCTTTGGCTCTTTTGGAACCCCGAGAGCTGGAAATAGACAATTTGGGAATACCGTGGGGGGGCAAAATGCTGCAGACTTCTAGTTGCCTAAGAATATGTGTTGTATTCCCATGTTGGCTGTAGCAAGTTTAAAGGGAATGTGGCACTACTCAACATATGTATGTGTTCCGCGGGATTTGAGCAAATGTTCGAAGATGGTAGGTGATTTGGCCCAGCATTCACAAGGCTTCATCCATCCCAACTGGTGTGGGTCATACCAATGCAACGCGACACGAGAAGTGCTCAGGCAGGTGCCCTTTCGTAGGCTCAAAGTCCACGGACCATGAGAAGCGGACTTGTGCAAAGGTATATTTGGCCGGCTTTCGGTCCGCCCTTTTTCAGGCAAGCAATGGGGTTGTGGGGTTTATTCGTCCAAGTGTCCCAATGATCAGGCAAAAGCAGCAATGTGTGTAATTCATAATTTGGCCCGATGTGTTGCTCACCTGCAGGGTTTTCGCACTTTACACTTCTTGGGCACTACCCACTTGCCACATTTGCAAAATGAACAACTGCTACGAGAAAATGTTCACCCCATCTCACAGTGCCCATCTTGCTTTGGCCAATGCATTCAGGAAGTCTGACGGGCACAAAAGTTGTTCGTTTCTCGGCTCGCTTCCCCAGTTTCCGTACTTGATTCTTTTTGGGAAGGTCGTGTAGACTTGTTTTGGCCAATTTACTCATGTGGGCAGGAAGCCAAAGGAAAACCAACCACCACGTGGGTTGCGGCCGGAGGATTGCCTGAGTCGGGCTGGATTTACGTGGATCTTCCTCTCCGGTGGATTTCTCAAGCAAACTGCCGTGGATTTGTTCCTTCACACCACATGGAAGGCGGGTTCCGGCGTAGATACATGTCCCGCCGACTTGCTCATCCTTGCAAGAAAAAACATGGTTCCCCTTATGCCATCATCCCATTTAGCCGAAAAGGACCCAGAAAGAAAAGAGGTCAATGCATTTGGGCAACTTCTCAAGTCCCGAGATCGCACGGCCACTCCCGGCTCAGAGTTCAGGTTCCGGTATTTGGGATCGAGTCGGGCGCGTGCGTCCAGCAAAGGCTCATGGAATCCCCAGAAAAAGCTCTCCGAAAAGGAGGCTCCACTTCAACTGATTTCTTTGGTACTGGTAGGTCGCAAAGTTTCGGTTCAATTTCTGGGCAGAACAGTGGGTCGGACATCGCCCTGAGTGAACTCAGCCAGCCAAGGCAGCATCAATGCCGCGCAGGAGACGGTTGTGAGCCAGGGAGCCGTCGACAGGGAGCTGAGTAGGTGCAGACTGCACCGGCACATTTCAATCCAAAGGGACGGACCAGCAGCATCACAAATGGGATGACTTGAGTAAACTGGATACTTGCACTGGTCCAAAAGATCCGATGAGCAACTAGGGACTAAGGCAGCCAGGCTCAAATTTCACACGAGATGCGCGCAACAGTACTGGGGCGCGAGGAGGGGCTTGGTTGCTTCAACTTTACGGGCGTGAGATTCTTAAGCGTTGTGTGTTGGATTAGAAGCTGCTGCAATATTACAAACTGGGCCAATATTTGGCACTATTTTACATCCTTGCCCTTTACCAGCATCCTTGGTCAGTTTGATTGAACCCAGACGGAATCCGCGAGTGTCCGTTGGGTGTCTTATCATTTAGCAAAACCAACTGGGTATGGGTCAAATTCAGGCCACCAGGGGCCCGCAGGTTGTAGTCATTGTTTCTATTTGCCAGGGTTCCATTTTGGGTACCTATTTTTGACCCACACCCAACTAGCCACAGGAATGCGTGGCCAGGGCAAAACACTGCGTCCGCAGCCGGGCGGGGGATTGAGCATCAACAAAGGCTAGGTGAAGGTTCGGGGACAAGGCAAGGGTTTGGGAGATCCGCGTGATCTAGATAGCCACTGCCCCTTGTGTCCGGCGCGATGTCTGCCCTTCCGGCCATTTCTCTTGTTCCGGTAGACGACCAAGTCGACCCAACTCGACAGTCTAGACGGGAATGCGACTGCTTCCCGGCGATGTGTCTTCAAATAGACACCGGTGAGGGATCCACGTGCCAGTTGCCAGTGGGATGGGGCAGGTTCCAGTGGGATCCATTTGGCTTCCCAGGAGCTTATGCACTTGCAGAGCTTTCAGACCCAGGACGTGCTGATTGGCAATAACTCGCGCCTTGCTTGGAGGGCGAGCATGGGCTTGTCTCAAAATGATGTTCAAAACGAGGCAGGAGCGCTGAACAGGATGTAGATGTGCTGCAAGCAGACTCTATGATTGGTCACTCACTCCTCATTGCTTGGTCGATCGTGACTTCCAGTAGTTACCGCACGCCAAAGAGGTCCTGGGAGCTTCCGTGGTACAAGCCTGCTGGTACCAGCTGCCTCACCATGATATCAGGGGCTCAAACAAGTACCAAACACACATTGATCTCCTTTGACCATGATGTAATTTGGCTACAAGGTGTCCCCACAATTCCATTCTAATTATGCGGGCTAGTCTCAGATAGCCTTTCATTGGTGGTTTGGATTGGTGGCTGGGGGGTTTGATCCCAAATGAAGGCGCTTCCTAACCTCCGAACCACCAAACTCCCACGGAAAGGGAAGCTGATAGTTTCTGATGGCTGAAACCCGCCAGCCGAGGTTTGCAAATGCACGCTCCGAAATGGCCTCGGTGCTTTTCTTGATCCACGACCTCGCCTCGTGCCTTCTCCAAAGCGAGGCCCAGTCCTGGGAAATGAAAACGGTCCAGGCGGACTTCATTTCGAAGAGCCTCTCATTTCTGTTTTTTGTAATGGGGAGAGTGGTTTCCCCTTAAAGCCACCGTTTACTTGGTGGCTCCCAGCCACCCGGTCCCTTAGCTTGGAGCTGTTTAGTTCGTTTAGTGGGTAAACGCCAGAAAGTTCAAAAAGTGCGTGCCATGGCCGAACCGTGCTTTCTGTTGCTTGTCGCTGGGGGTGGTCATCCACTTTGGACAGCCATCAGACAGGTTCACTGCAGGGATGAGGACCATGACCCGCAGATTCGGAGTTTTCACCCCACATTTGCGGGTGCTCTGTGCAAGAACTAGATTTTTACTTGTAGAGGTTGGGAAGCATCAATCCCTTCTTGTTGCTACTGTTGGCATTCGCTGCCATTTGTTCGCACAAAGGGGGCAATGTGGCTTCTCACTCAACACATCTTCAAAAGCAGTTCACCCCATGCCTCGGTCAGTCGGAACCAACCAGATGTTGACTGACCTCAGTCCTCTCAAGCCTTGCTGTGGCTGGAGGCAACTTCCATTCGAAAAGCGCTGCGGCTAGAGAGGACGAGGGGGTTGGTCAGGCAGAATGATGTGCGCACACCGAAAAACTCCTGGGGACTCAGGGTTCCAAAAAGCGCATTGCTGGGGCAGGGGTCTGGAAAAAGTTGAACTAGTGCCAATCCCCTTCTTGTTCCTTTGTGGAAAAATTAAGTCCAAAAAGGAAACAATAATGTGTTATTTCTTCCGCACGCCCAATTAACAACCCAAGATTCCTGACAACGGATGGAGCATGTGTAACCAACTCGAGGTCAAAGACCATTTCTCGAAGTAGAGCCACTGGATTTCCCGGTTGGTAATTTGAGCTGTCAAGCGCACAGCATTCCTTTTTGACCCCTTACTTTGGCGGCCCCTAATTTTTGCAACCTGACAGGGCGGCCCCACAAAGGTTGCAAGTCGACCACAAGTTGGTAAGGTACACCGCGAGGGGTCCCTAAACCATGGTTTCTCACTCGGAATCTTTAAGCGAGGCCTCCAGAGATGCCCAAGCACCAGACCCCCCGACCACCTCCGCAAACTCAGAAACGCAAGTTTCCCGTTCATCAACGCCTGGTTTAGATATTGGTTGGCCCCGGCAGCTGGCTTAGGCCTATAACCCTGCCCCTAAGCCGGATAGGTCGTCTTCCAGAACCCTGTCCACCCTTCGCAAAGAAGGCAAGAAAGTTGAATACATATGCAACCATTCAAATGACCTAAAGGAGGGAAACCGGGGCAGCGTCTTCTCAAGCTCATCCCAGACCCAGTGATGAATCGACCCCTGACGTTCCCATGGTTCGAGACATCTGTAAGTCTCCACACCTCATTTTCTATGGGACACGTTTCCCTGATTCCTCCAGCTCCTTTTCCACAAATCACAGAAAATGAGCCACCCAAAAGGTTGTTTTACTGGCTCCTTTTTCAACCAAACCAAAAGCCTTTGGTTGACTGAAGGCGGGACCAAATCGGTGTTCAAAAGCGGGCGCTCGGCAGGAGGGAGCTGGAAGAGGACCGTGATATCGAGGCAGGGGGGGCAGTAGATAGGGGTGGGTTTCTTTTTGAGTGCACCCCCTTTGTGTTTCTTTGCTATGGAAGAACCAAAGCAAACACCAAAATTTTGAGGGGAGCCCAGGGGTCCCCAACAATTGTGAAGACAGACCCTCATAACGCCCAGCGGACAGTCAAACCCTCTTGTGTGTGTGTGCCTGTGTCAGTTGGATTGTTGTGGATTGTTGTGGGTGATGTGTCTTGGTTGGAAACCCTTTTGTGCCGCTTGGGCGGCCAAAATGGTTGCACACAGCACACAGGCCCCTTCCAAGGAGCATTTGAAGATCTGGATCTTATGCGTGGGAATTGGGTAGTTGCTCAGACTCGTTCAAACGGAGATTCTTGGGACGGGTTGTCAAGCTGACGCAGTCAGCCCAGACTTCCGCACGAACGCAAGTGCTACGTAACATAGGCTAACAAGATGGGGCAAGCAAACTTCCCGCAAAGGCTCATTTCATTGTGGTTGTTGGGAAACATTTTACATTTTTGCTTATTGTGGTTTAGTGGGAAATCCCACTTAACTGCTAAAATGTCAATTTGTGCTCCCTTTCCAACGTCAACCAAAGATTTGCGAATCCCTGAGTTCAGCTTGTTGCTTAGGTCAACTGCATGGGGGCGAGAGCACATTGAAAAATCGAAAGGAGCGGCTGGCACCTTGAATCGTCACAGGTAAACCGAGAGTTCTCCAAGCAATTGAACTGCTGGAAGGGCTAGTGCCAGTGTTCCTTCTGTTTGCGCTCATTTCGTCAAGCCTCATCGACGTGAGCTGTAGCAATCCGGGCCCCAGGATTGGGGATTCGGTGGTCGAATCACTTGCAAACTAATGCATTGACCATATCAGGCTTCCCGAAATTGGTGTTTCTCAAAGTAGGAATTGGCCCCGCCATTTTGAGAAACTTCCTAATTACTGTGGATGGGCGAAATCCATTTCGCACCACCACTAGGAAACCCTGGAATGATTCCACCTGTAAATACCAACAAATACTTGTTTCCACCATAGTTTCTTTTCGTGGTGCCCACAGTATCGGTTGGGGCCAGTATTTGTCGGGCGAGGCAGCCGAAGCAAGCCCCGGCCCAGGATAGCACATGGAGCATCCACGGGCGCGCCTTGTACACGCCGCTGCTTGGCCGCCGCAGGTCACAGCAGGCGCGTATGGGTGCAGACGGGAGGGCGCCTGTAGTTCGTTCCAAGCTAGGTATCCTGCGATGCCAGTTTTGTAAAATCAATTTCGCCGGTGTCAGCTTGGATCATCATTTGCCAGTTCCAGGCTTCTAGAGAGCAGAGATCCTGGTTTCCATAGCCTTCCAAATGGAAAATACAAGTAAGCCTACCGTTTTTGGGGGGTGGTGTCAAAACGGGGTAAACTTAAGCAACTTGGTTTGGGGGCTGGTTTTTGGAGGGCAGATGCAAGTAGGCCACTCATTTTCGATGTTCGAGATCCGACTAAACTCAGAAGCAAAACGTAGTGCATTGGATGTTAACAGGGGAAGAAAGATAACAAAAGCCTGGTTTAAGAGGGTCTTCTTATTTTTCTTATTAGCAATCATTACTGGCTGGATGTTAAAGAGATGCCGGACCAAAGCAACCCTGCTCGAGGGAATAGTTTTTTTGTTTCTGGGAATTAAAGTAAATCAAGCCTTTTAAGGGGGTGTTTACATCCTTTGTGACAAGACAACAGTATGCCAACCATGTTTTTAAGTGGGTTCTGTTTCTATATGTTGGGGGGGACACAAAGGACCCCATACTGCGAGGTCACCCATGCTTAGTTTCCCCTCGCTTTCCAAGTCGCTGGACTGCTTTCTTTTGTTGGCAGAGCCAGTGTAGTGTTAAAACGAAAATGCCCATCAAACCGCTCCTGCCACTCCCAAACGCATCAGCCAAATCAAAGCTCTAGTTGGGGGGGCTATTCGATTGCTCCCCAAATGGGTGCGGTTGGGGGGGGTTAAACAAATTCGCTCGGACCAGAGGAGATGAGGAAGCAGCACAACATGACGGCGGAGCAGTTCTTCCAGAAAATTGTGGACTCCTTGTTTCGATCGACGCGAGCGAAGGGATTTGTCCAAAATTGGCGGGTTTCAATGATTCACCATTTGGAGGACGAATTCCACATGGCCCACGAAAATTGTAGTTTAGCTGGCTTGTTTCCCTATTCTGGCCAGTTGGACATGCCCGCCCAATCGTTTCCAATAAAGCACTGATCGAGGGCCCTGCACGCAAATCAGGAGGAGAAGGTAGCCAGCGGTTTCTGGAGAAATTCTGGATCAAGCTTGTCCGTGCAGGGGTGAAACGAGCTCATGATAGGGTGCCTTGGGGACTTCTCATCAATTTTCTCAGTCTGCCAACTGGAAGCCCTGCTGCTACTCCCAGGAATCGCCCCCAAATCAAGTGGCCTGGGAAAAGGAAATTGAGGGGAATCACTGTAAGTGAAGTTGGGCCCATTTCTCATGTCATACATGCAATTGCGTGCTTGCTTCGCGCGCGCGCGTGTGTGCGTGTGTCACTTGCGTGAACGTGACAAGTACGTGTTGTATCCCAGGCTTTTTTTTGTGGCCATGCAAGTGGTGAGACTGGGCGGCTACGCAAATAGCCGAACACATCGCAATGCCATTCAGGAGAAGCCCGTGTCACCGTAGCTTGTTGCAGATCAGATGAGCCAAAAGCAGGGCCTCGCAATGTGAGGGCTAGTAGGGGGGGATGCAAACAGCATAGAATGCATGGACATGATTTCGTCCACCCTTTTGATTCTGTTGTTTTGGGTGGTCTCCTTTGAGTTGTTGCAGCATATTTTGTCTGACAAGAAGGATCTCAGAAAAGAATGGGGAAGTACAGCTAGATTGGTACCAGGCTTTGATCAGATGGGCCACCAACTATGCCATGGTCAACACACCCTTTGACTTCATCCATTTGGTGGAATCGTCCCAACCCAAACCTCTGCATTTGGGAAGTATGTTGAACTCATTTCTTGAGGACCCCTGCTTTTGTTGCATCCCCGGCTCCAAAAGCCAAGAGGACGGTCTAGGGTCAAAAAGCCGCCTGTGGGCAAGGAGCCCGTCAAGGTGGCGGCTGCGCTGCGGTGGCGATGTGCCTTCAAGGTGACCTTGACTTACAGCGCCTTTGGCAAGCAACTAGGTCCCCCAGTAGTGCCCTTTTACCGTTTCTTCTTCTTCTTTTTGGGGGGGGGTTCCCCTACTAAAATAGACTACAGAGAAAAGGGTACCCTGATTCTAACCTCTCTACAGGAGGACCTAGGCAATCTGCGGGAGGACAACACTGCTACTATGATCATGCCCTACATTGCCTATACCACAGCCCCAGTTGAACCATTAAAGCCCTCATGCTAGAATATGGGGATTGCAAATCGCTCGGGTGGTGCGGGTCTTTCTGACAAATTGGATTGTGCAAAGCATTCCGCTTCCTGCGCCATGTTTGGTTGTTTTGGTTGTCGCGAGGTGCCACTTATGTGTCACTTATCCTCCAGGGGGCCGCCTACAACAAGTCCAATGGCTCTGGGAACCGCCTGAAAGTCACAAAGAAGTCATCGGGGTATCTTAGAGAAGGGGCACAACCCTTCCCACAACCATGCCAGTTAAAGGGAAGCCACGTTGGGAAACACCAATATGGCCCACTGTGGCATTTCTTCGAAAGGTGCAGCCTTTGTTCGCATTTTTGATCGCCTGTTTTGGCATCCAGGGGGCATCTCGTGCAGTCCTCAGATTCAAGAGCACTTCCAGGTAGCTGTGTGTTTTGGAGGTATGCTTAGACCACCACTCCAAATTGTTGCGTTGTATCTGCCCCTCATATAAGTGGCGTAAAAACCTCTATACCTCCAAAGCAATGCCTGAAACTCGCCTTGATGAGAAGAGCGGCAACGGAGGTTTGGCCTTCATGATCGATGAGACCTCCCACTTCGACAGAGCCTTGGTTCCCAACATAAACTATTCAACGTGGGCAGACCAGGTAAAGAAAGATTTGCCTTACAAATCCCCTTTCCTGGTTTTAGACCCTATATTTCGGTGGACTGACATTGACAGGGAAGGCCCCGCCACCAAGCATGGAAGCAGACTGGCGGGGGCGGGCTTCTCGAGGGTGTGGCTTTCTTTTGGGTTCCCTTTCTGGCTGGTAGGAGGGTACCCTCAGACAGCCGAGGTGTGCTGGTGTGCACCGTGAGCTATTTGTGCAGCTACGGCTCCCAATACGCCGGGCCGGGCTCTCAAGCGAGAGGAATCAATCAGAGGCTCAAGATCCTGGGGGGAGGCGGCCCTCCAATGTCTGCCTTTTTCATGGCGAGCCACCTGGGAGATAAAATAAATGCTTTGGGCCGGAAGGGTCATTTACCTTTGTGATACGCTTCCTTCCATGTACAACAGGACCCACACTGGAGAGTTCATGGGATGCTTGAGCCATGGCCGAGCTAGGACCAACTTCTGAGGGAAAGCTCGCTGCTCGGGTATGAAGGTGCCCTTAGGTCCTTCAAACGGAGATTTCCATTGCATACTGCAAGAAAAAACCAACCAGTGGAACTTGCAAAATGCGCAGGGCCTCTAAGGGCCTCAACCTTGTCAAGCATTCCCTGATGGGTTGGGAACTCCCATGGGGAACAAGGAAACCTGATTGATTGGGATTCCCGCCGAAGAGACAGAAACCAAACAAAGTGAGCCTTACCAAACATGAAGGGGGATTCCAGACATGTCCAACTTGTGAGCTTGAGTTTGTTCAGAAGCTTGGCTTCTTGTTGGTATCCCTTGAAACGCTATCCAACCAGGGTTTCAACCGATATTTGGTAAACCCGACGGTAACCCAAGATTTCGATAAACCTCCGGTTGACTCCTACTGTAACTCTGTGACCCAAAATTTCAGGACCTGCTGGTTAAGCCCGCAAATATGCTGGGGATCGAGCAAGCCAGCGAGCTGGGAATGTCTTTGTTTTGAGGGTACCCTTTTTGAGAGTGTTTCCCTCTGATCCCCTTTGTAGAAGCAACCTAAAGGTTATTTGGGGGTGTTTCCCTTTGATCCCTTTGATCAAAGCAACCTAAAGCCCGTTTGACGTTTTCGTTGGGGTTTTCCCGTGGGATCCCCGAAGCAAACATCACCCAAAGTGCACCCCACGATCGATCCCTCGCCCGAGCGCCCAGGGGATCGCTCCGCCGAGCCATCTCCCGCGGAGTCGGGGTGTCCGCCGGCGCCACGGCGGCCCGGTGAAAGTCGTTCGCCTTTGGCGCGGGGAGACGCGCGGGGAGACGCTCGGGGAGACGGGGGCCGGAGACGGCGCAAAAAACGGCCCACACCAAGCAGGTGACGAAGATCATGTCAGCTGGCGTGTGTTGTTGTTGACGCCTTCAGCCCATGCAGCATGCAAGGCGCACGCATGCTCAAACAACAGCTCTACAGAGATGTGTCCAGGTACTTTACAGAATTGCCATGCTTTGTTTGAAGGGGAAGCCAAAAAGGGATAGGTCAGATAGGTGAGTTCTTCTTTCTCCAGACTCCCTATTCCCCGCAGATTCCGGGGTCTACTTTTGGGAAGTTCATTTTGACCCAAGAGTTTGGTGAGGGTGCCGAAAAACAGATGGATTTAATTTGTTGGCATTGGTTGTTTGTTCCACATGGCTATAAGTGTGGCTCACCCGTTTTTCGTACTATATGCTCCACTAGGATCCAAGACTCCGTTGCCCAGTGGTGCCCTTTTTTCGCCTTTTTTGGGTAAGGATTCCCCTTTAAACTCCACCAACAACAACAAAAAAGGATGCCAATTATTTTTCTCCCATGGCCACTGGGCATCTGAGACTGAGAAGCCTTTCAGGCAACAGGGGTGATATAAATTCGCGCGAGGTGGGCAGCGTATTGCAGCGGCTCTGCTTCTGGTCGGCCGACGAGGCGCCTCGTCGGGCCCAGTAGCTCAAGGTCCACCATCCATGTGAAAACAGGTGGGTGTCCGGCTAAAGATGGTCAAGCCCATAAGAAGGTTGGCACTTGAGAGAGAGAGAGAGAGAGAGAGATAGGAAGGGTTCCCTTTATCTACCAGGGTAACTGGGTGTTAGAATTATCGGCGAAAGTGCGTTGGGATCCTCCCTTGCTTGGTTCCATTTTGCTTCTGAGGGGCCAAAAAGATTTGGCCAACAGACTGTACCCATCAGCCCCTTGCATGGTTGGTGTGGTACCTCCATTTGGTCTCAAAAGAAAGTGGAGTTCCAACACCCCAAGCCACCAATCCAGTCCAGCAAATCAGGGGCACCTGGTTGCAGGTTCCGTGAATCAAACCCTACCAAGTGTCGGCCAAATCGGCCCAAATCGGAAGGGGCGCACTCCTTCGAAGGAGCATTGGGAGCCCTCCATGGTGTCCATCATGGCGACGTTATGCCTCATCTTCGCCTGGACTGGGCCCCGTCACCCGCCGTCACCCGTGTGGTGATTGGACCCTACAGGCGAATTATCCACTCACCAACCTGAAAAATCAACCATGGGGTGTGTCTTTCTTGAATGGCACCCCTTTGCCGTTTTTGTTTGCGTGTTTTTGCTTTTGGAATCCCAAACAGAACTGCTTAGATGTCCAGAAGGTGGCCGTTTTTTCAGACAGATCCATGGAGGGGCAGTGACACTTATCCCCGTCAGTTACCGTCAGTTGGAGACCGAGCTCAAACTGTTGGGCAGCTTGCAGCGAAGAGGCCACTAGGCTCACGCTTGGTGAGATCTTAGCTTGAACGAAGACGACTGTTATTCAAAATCTAGCCTTTAGCAGTTTGATTTTCCCTTGGTCCAATTTGATTGAAGGTCCCTCCTCCTAAAGGTTCACTTTTTTATCTCCATGTCGATTGGGCAAGTGGGTAGAGGAGAAAAATCCGGACGGTTGGGTGACTCATTTCTCCGACTCGTTGGCCTGGAAGATGCCAGGAGCTTCCTGGCCAACTGTGTGAACTTCAGAGGTGGGCCCTACTCCTATGCAGCCCGGCCAAGCCGATGGCACGAAATCGGAAAAGGTCCCCTTATCCAGACGGGTGGGTGCCCCACGGTTTTTTATTCACTTGTTCATCGTTTTGGCCAGACGGTTTTTGGAATCTGTGAGAAACTGTTGGATTCTTATGGTTGTTCAACTGTATCCTTTTGCCCCGCCCCTGTGCTTGTTTTTGTTCCTTGTAAGGAGACATTCCTGAACGACTTGTCCTTCAAGTCCCCTGTGTGCGTGGAATGGTTTCAACCTCCCCCCCGAGCCCCCCATTTTTATGGCCGGCCGTTTTCCGTGCGAGGTGGGGTTCTGCGCCGCCTTCACCGCCATCAAGTTCCTGTCCTGCGCCGCCCCGGGGAGCATCACCTTGTCCACCACCATCACCTCCTCCATGTACGCCTGCCTGTTGGCCGTGCTGGTGGAGACGCGCCTCCGACTGAACTTGGCGAACGGAGAACGGAAGGGGAGAAAGAAGAAAGAACGAGGGGACGCGCGGTTTCCCTTGAAATGGGCTGAAGAAAGAACAAAAGCCAGTGGGCTGGACAGAAATCTCCGAGAGGAGAACCAGGTTGGACATATAAATCTGATGGATTGCTGGCCCGCACCAAAGGCCAACAGTTGATGGCCCTTGCCAATTGGTTCGGGGCTGGAAGGCTGCGAGGTTCGCGGAAGTTCTGGCGATGCTGTCAGATGCTGCGCTTGGTCATTCACAGGGCCATCACAGGGGGCCGGGTTGCCCGAGGGCGAAGTAGGCATCGCTTCTTGGAGAGGGCTTTCTAGCCCGCCAGATTTTCTTCAGAGCCTGAATCTGGGCTGTTCCAGGCACCGAGGTTTCTTGAAAACCGGAGTGGAATCCCAAAAGATCTGGACATGGTGGGTGGTTGGCAAACTTCACGTAAAAAGAGTCCTCATGTCCGCTGGTTGTTTGCGAAACAGGTATGAGCTTTATTTGTGAGGCCGTGGGCATCATTTCCAAATGATGTGTGTCTACCAGCCACTCAAGGGCGTCCCCCCATTCAAAGTCCTAGCATACGGGTTTCATCAATCTGTTCATGAGGGCAAGAGGCCCGACACCCGAGGTGTATCCTCCCCGTGGACGCGCGCGACCTTCTGCCGGGGCCCCGTTTTGATCCGTGTGGGTGGGCTGCAAAATAGCCGGTCTTCCTTGGGCTTGCAGGTTTTGCCTTCAGAACAACCTCAAAAACAAGCATAGCCTTTTGTCAAGGTGCCTAATCGTGACAGCTTGTGCTCGGTCAACCTGATGCGGGCAAATGGCAACGAGTCGACAACAGGTGGCGTAAAGTCACAACGGCCATCTGACTTTTGGTGGATGTCGTTTGTGCAAGCTGCCCAAGCCGAAACCAAAAAAAGATGGATATTTGATCAAATATGTGTTGGATTCGTCGAAAAAACTGATTTCACCAGCTTCCTGACCATATTTGTTCAATTTGTCCAGGCTTGGGTGTGGGTCAAAAATGGGTACCCCAAATGGCTTGCCCTAGTAAATGGACACATGGACTAAAACCTGCGGTCCAATTCCTGGTGGTGACTAATTTTGACCCATACCCACTTCGTCATACTTGCCAAGCTGAACACAGGTTCCGGAACCGAATTACCCATCGCCTAGACCTCCAAATCCCATTTTGCCCTGGGACAGATACATGTCAATGTATATTCACTAGATAGCGCTTACATGAGTTCTCTGAATGAGTCAACCACTGATTCAAAACTTGGCTCACGGGACCCCACACCCCCGATCCCCCCAATCCCCCCAAATTTCTGTTGGGAAAAAACCACAAACCGCCTGCCATCTTGGAACCCTTGTTACAAAAGCCCCTCCTTTGCGCCCCCAAAGGCAGGCCAACCCTCCTCTCCTGATTTTTGGTTTGGTCTGTGGCCAGGCAGGGCCGAGTCACTGCGGCGCTGCTGGGCATCTGGGCGGTGCTGCCGGTGCTCGTCACCACCGACCAGACCATCTTCAAGAAGGCCGGCCCGGCGGTGGGACTCGGGACTTGGGACCGATTTCCGCCTTTCCGTGCGCCGAGGCAAAACACGTGTTTTTTTTTGTGTTGGTGGAGCGGTTTGCATCGTTATTAACATGTGTGTTTGTTTTTTTTGATTGGTTTGCATCGTTGCATTGTAAAATGTTGTTGTTGTACTTTTTTGTTTTTTTGATTGGTTTTGTTTTTGCATTTTGAGATGTTATTTACAAAAAGGAAGTACTACACAAAGCAAAAGTCAAACGGAGAAGCCAGCACCTGAGGGCCAGCGGGCCCCAAAGGTGCAAACAGGGCCGGACCGCGGGCCTGGTCCCTGATACAAGGCTGGGAGTGCGCTCCCAGGCCTTGTCCGGTATGCAGTCTGGAAGACCTGGTATGAAGCTGAGAGTGCGCTCCCAGTTCATGTCCGGAGGGCTCCCAGCGGGGAATGCTGTCCGGAATGCCTAAGCGAGCTTAGGGCCTAGAAGGGTCGGGTGGGTGGGTTTCAAAACGAAACCAGGACTGCGAGTCCTAAAAGTGAGTTTGAGGGCTAGGAGCACCAAATGGCGGCGGCGTAGGAGATTCACCCCCGACCTATAAACACAAGGGAAAAGAAAACCCTTAGCGTTAAAGGTCCCGCGCACTGCTCCTAGCCTCAAACTACAAAGAACCCTGAACCCAAAAGCCGACAGCAAGGCGCACACCTTTTTACCGGGTTGCTTGGGAAGGTGGCACTTTCCTAGGGCACTGCGGTGCACCCAGGACAAGGGGCGAGATGTTCCCCTCCTTCAGTGCTTCCCAAGGCAACCCCGGTAACAGGCGATTAAGGCCCAGGCGCAAAAGTCCCCCTCTTCAGTGCGGGGTTGCACCTGCGGCGGACGAAGCACAGTGACAGACAATGCGAGCGCATTGCTGAACCCTCAATGCAGCGACTTTCATCAGTTCATTTTCTGATGCTTGGAGTTCCTCAATAAAAGGCACCAAGCAGGTACCTCCATTCCAGGTGTTTGGCCTCCGCGCCAGAATCTGGAATTTGTCCTTTCTTTGAAGTTCGGAGGATTGAGGTAGTCCCAGAAAAGGAAAAAAAGGAAGAAGAAACAAAACGATCACTTGGGATGAGAAACCCCTGGATCCGGTTCTTCAACCAAGCTTCCTGGGGTTTGGGGTGGGCTTCGAGGAGGGCAAAAAGGCAAGTCACCGGTGTCTCCGCCAACAATTCTTTCATATTTTAGGTCCCCCAGTAGTGCCCTTTCTCACCCATTTTTGGGGGAGGGGTCCCCTACTAAAATCGACTACAGAAAAAGGGTCGCGTTATTCTAACCTCTACTGGAGGACCTAGTATTTGCAAGTTTGCAACAGGATCTGAACATCGGATATTCTGTGTGCAGGATGGCCTTTGAACCAGATTGGTGGTTTGGCCAACGGCCCCACCGGGCCGTTGGGTTTGAACCACTCAACGAGCGAGCGAGCCCGAAAATTCGGCGAGGTGAAGCAAAACTTTGGGCTGGAGTCCTTCCCGGACCTCACAGACCGCCTGAAGCAGGCGCCAGGGGGGGGGTTCAGGCTCAAATCATTTGAAGATCCCATGTCGCTAAAATCCTCAGGGCTCCCAAAATGTCCGTTTCTTTCAATCAAAACGGAGTTTCCTTCAAATCCGAGGTTGTGCAAAAACAGCCAACTTGCACGGTCCAACCAACCCAAAAAGCCCTTGGGTCGTTTCGGAGGTCGGTTGCAGCGAAATAGCTTCCCTTTGTTGGGGTTGGAGTGCCCATGAAAATGGTCGAGAAAAGGTCTTCTTCCGAGGCAAACCGGGCAAATCGGATGTCCTTTACAGAAGAAACAACCCAACAGGTGTCCATTGAGACATCAAGCAATCAGAAACTTGCTTGTTCCTTTAGAGTCAACTTAACAGCTGTTTCAGGCCAGCAAACTTTAGAGGGCGGTTTTCAACATCACCTTTTTGGCTCTCATAAGCTGAGTCTCCCGCGGGGTATTGTTTTCAGGAGGTAAGATAGAGAGCCAGGTTAACCCAACTGTGCTTCGTTGCATTTTGCCAAGGGATGTTAGGACTTTAACTTTTCGCCATCTAGTGGGTTTTCCATTAAACCACTAAAAGTTATTCACTTTTAGCAGGGGTTTGCAGAAAGCAACCGAGTGTGTTTGCAAGAGCCTCTTGAATCAACTGGCCAAAGGAAAGCTCACCAAGGTGGGCGCCTATGACAAGTACCTGGAGTGGCGTGAAGGCTCGAAGCTGGACGTCGGCATTGCTTAAAATTGGTGGGTCACCAAAGCACAAGGTGGGGTGGATGCTACGGACACTTGTCGCTTTGAGGCCGCCATATTTTTTTTGGTTGTTTGACTTGTTTGTTTTGCTTTGTGGGGGCAGGGGGAAGGGTGGATGTCATGGGCATTTGCAGTTGTTTGTTTTTTTTCTCCATGGTTGGTTCAAATCAGAGGCCCTACACTCCCCCCAAAAAAAAAATGGAAAAAAAAGAAGAAAAATCTGCCCCGCAGCTCATTGCCCTATTAAGCCCTTACCCTTCGGGCTCTTTGGTGCGGTAGCAAGGTAAACTTTTTGTCAAAGATCCGAGGTGGGCGCAAACCCCCTCCCAATAGACCCTCTAGGTACCAGCATTACCCAAGACCCGTGGCTTCACCCAAACCCTTTGGCCTTTTGCGGGGCGGGGGTGGGGCGTCGTGGTTCATCCACTGTTCGCCCGCCTTGCTCAAGACCTTTGTTCACCCGTGGCTTTTCCCTTGCTGCATTTTTTGTACTTCAGGTCAACCCGTGGGTTTTCCCTTGCTCCAGTTTTTTTCCTTTCAGGTCCTCACCTTTTGAGCGCCTGTTCCCTCCAGGTCCCTTTAAGGGGCAGCGAGACAGTGGGCGCAGGCTATATGCGCTGGCGTCAGGGCCAGAGCTGCGGCGCCCGCGGCGAGATCGAGGCAGTGGCCGGCGGCACGTCCGAGACGCCGTCCACGACGCCAGGCGCCGCGGGAAAGCGAAAGAAGTGCAGGGAGTGGCCCTTTAAAGGGTTTCCGGTCAATGCTGACCCCAATATGGGTATGGATCCCGTTTAACAGAGTTTCATTTGGGGTACGCATGTTTGACCCATAGCCATATTGAAACCCAGGGACACCCCCTATTCTTAAACAGGGGTTGATTTTTTGTGGGGTCAACATTAGTGGGCAGTTTCAATCATCGCCTTTGGTCCATGAGACTCCTGTTGGTCCATGTTCCTGTGAATGTTGACCCCGTATTCGTCTACCCCAGCTTAGTTTCATAGGGGGGGGGTCCCTTCCAAAAGTGGTCTGATTCCCACATTTCACCCAGGAACATCCCCTATTCATAAACAGGAGTCAACATTTGAGGGCATGTTCAAGCATCGCCTTTTGTTGCCGGTGACAGTGATGTTCCATGATTTTAGCAGCTGCCTAGGCCAACCAACTCTTCAACTTTGAGGCGAGACACAAGGCGAAGACGAAGTTGAACTGTTTCCCTTGCCAAATTTCATGGGTCAGGTCAGTTCGTTCGGGATTTGGGTGTTTTAAGGTCCTAAAAAAGAATAAGGGTTTTTTACTCAAACTTAAGGGTTTGCCAAAACCAAAAAAACAAAAACACAGATTTTGCAGCGAATCTCAAAGTGTACTATTTATGCCAGATTCCCCAAAACAAGAATCAATTTGCTTTCTTGGGAGGGGACCCCGCCGGTTTTGCGCGCTTTGCTCTTTTTCCTCCACACTGGCAAAAGCTTGCTGCACTGGACTTTCCCCCGTCCACTGCACAAAACCCTCACTCAGGTTCGGCGCCGCCGCTTGGCAGTGCTACCAAACAACTTGTCTATGTTTTCTTGGCACGTGTCCATGCCACCGTCGCCCTTTGCTTTCGCTTTTGCTTTGGACTTTGCAGCCTTGGCTGCGGGCTTGGCTTTGGCTGCAGCCTTGGACTTGGCTGCGGCCTTGGACGTCTTGCCCTCTTCCTCACGAGCACTGGGGGCAGCCTCTTGGCCGGGCTTCGCACTTGGGGCGGCCTCTTGGGCGGTCTCCTGAATGCTGGCGGTCGCACGGGCTGCCTCTTGGGCAGTCTCCTGAATGCTGGCGGTCGCACGGTCCTGAATGCTGGCGGTCGCACTGGGGGCGGCCTCTTGGGCGGTCTCCTGAACGCTGGCGGTCGCACGGGCGGCCTCTTGGGCGGTCTCCTGAATGCTGGCGGTTGCACGGGTGGCCTCTTGAATGCTGGCGGTCGCACAAGCGGTTTGTTGGGCGGTTTGCTGAGCGCTGGCGGTCGCGCTGGCGGCCTCTTGGGCGGTCTCCTGAATCCTGGCGTTCGCACTGGGGGCGGCCTCTTGGGCCTCCTGAATGCTGGCGGTCGCACAGGCGGTTTGTTGGGCGGTCTCGTGAATGCTGGCGGTCGCAAGGGCGGCCTCTTGGGCGGTCTCCTGAATGCTGGCGTTCGCACTGGGGGCGGCCTCTTGGGCCTCCTGAATGCTGGCGGTCGCACAGGCGGTTTGTTGGGCGGTCTCGTGAATGCTGGCGGTCGCAAGGGCGGCCTCTTGGGCGGTCTCCTGAATGCTGGCGTTCGCACTGGGGGCGGCCTCTTGGGCCTCCTGAATGCTGGCGGTCGCACAGGCGGTTTGTTGGGCGGTCTCCTGAATGCTGGCGGTCGCAAGGGCGGCCTCTTGGGCGGTCGCACGGGCGGCCTGTTGCGCAGTCTCCTGAATGCTGGCGGTCGTACTGGGGGCAGCCGCCTCATTTTGGGCGGCACAAGGGGCAGCCTCCTTTTGGGCCTCAGAGGCGGGAGCAGCGGCCTCATCCTTTTGGGCGGCCTCCTCAGCAACAGACTGAGCTGGCTGCTGAGCAGGAAGGGCACCTTCCGTGGTCTCCTCAGCGGCGGCAAGGGCATCCTCCTTGCACAAGGCGGGCTCCTCAGAAGTTGGGTCAGCCTCCTTTTGGGCGATGGCTTGGGCCTCCTCAGTGGCGGGGGCAGCCTGGGCGGTGGCAAGAGGATGCTCACACGTTGGGTCAGCCTCCTTTTCGGCGGCAGCTGGCTGCTGAGAAAGGGCACCTGGGGCAGCCTCAGCAGCAGCCTGCTTCTGGGCGGGATCCTTGTCGGCGGGCTCCTTGATAGGGGCTGGGCTGGCGGCCGAGGCATCTGCCCCACCGCTGCCTGTGGCACCACCTTCAGAAACAGCCGCTAACCGCATCTCCAACTCGTCTTCGTCAAAGAATTGGAAAAGCGCCGTTTTCAAGACGCGCCAGAATGGCCGCTTCTGACTCCTTGGGCACAACTTGAGTCTTCCAGAAAAAACCATCAATCAATCTATTTTGCTTCTGACATTCAAAACGCAAGAAAATATTCGCTGCCACTATGAAGGTAGCCAGTGACAAGCTTGAGTTTGAGCACTTGCAAGACCGACATGAAAGAGTTGCGACTTGAACTCAGACCGCTAGAAAAACGAAAAAAAAGAACACGACATGGCATCTGAGGGGGGCGGTCGACTCTGAACTTTGAACATTTCTTGAACGTTCTTTGAAGTTCTTTGATGCACTTCAAAGTCAATGTCAAGCCGACAAACCAAGGGGCAAGGTAGTGTCCGTCAACAAGGTGTCCATGTCAACCGCTGAGTCTATGTCCATCACCATGGAAGACAACCGCAAGGTGCAAGCATCAGCATTCATTGCCTTTTCGATGAAGAGGTACCCGAGCGGTAGAAACACTGCGTCCCCAGCGGAGACCTGGCCCACCCTGAAAGATGGGAGCGACCCAGGACTTGCTGTCAGCGCCTCCGGAGTAACTCCCTCCAGGAAGGAGACGAGGTCTTTGCTGTCGCGGCTGCTGATGAAGGACGCAATTTCCCCCACGCGCGCCATTCCGATTAGGCGGCCTCCGGCCACCTGAAAGCGGTGGTTACCCAAGGCAGATTGCTCCAAGCCTGTGAAGCACTTGCCCTGCTCAAGATGCGTCACAGCCGGCGCCAAGGCATCCTCCAAAGACGCCGAGTCCACGGGGATGCTCTCACATTTGCCAGCGGTGATCAACATGTCATGAGTCAGCAGCGCAGATCCCAGGCAATCGCCCACCGCTGAAGCTTCCTCCTCGTGCAAAGACTGCGCCAATGCCATCGCTGCATCGGAAGGACCCATCCGCTGGCTGCAACGAGTGGAAACCCGTTTGCCCTCTGCAACAGCCTGGGTAGCGGAGTCTTTCACAGCAGTCTGGAAGGCAGCGCAGGTGTCCAACAGCTCGGCAGCAGCGCCTTTAGGAACCTTGGGTTGAAAAGAAGTGAGTGAGCAAGGCAAGGGAGCAAACAGCTGGCCAGTCAGGTGGAAATAACATGCAGCAAAAACAACAACGCCAAAATGCCAACCCACGCCGAAGCGCCAAAGCCTTCAACGCCTGCTTGCCCTTAACCCTACAGATCACTGGCTGGCCCTGCGCGACAAGCTTCATGTACGCCTGGATGTTGTCTGCAACATCTAGACGGCGGTGCTGGGGGAACTTGCCAACTGACTGAATGATGGCGCTATCCTGGTCTGACACATCTGAAGCACGGATCCTTCGTGACTTCTTGGTGCCCTCCGCATCTGCATCTCCAGGGTTGGCCTCTGGCGCTGATCGCTTGGCTTTATCTGCTGCTTCCTTCGCTGCTAGTCTCTCTTTTTTTTTCAAGGCGGCGACCTCCTGTTGCTTGACTTTTTTTTCTGCAAGCTCTTTTGCTTTTTTCATCTCCCGTTGCTGGGACTCGAAATCTTTCAAGGCCGAGGTCAGCCCATCAAACACCATCTTCAAGTTCTTCATGTGGCGTTTGTGATCCGTCAAGAACTGCTTCGCGGCGTCTTCCTGGGTAGCAACACAACAGCAAACAAACCAAACAAACAAAACAAACAAACAAACAAACAAACAACAAACAAAGAAACAAACAAACAAACAAACAAACAAACCAAACAAACCAAACAAACAAACAAAGAAAGAAAGAAAGAAAGAAAGAAAGAAAGAAAGAAAGAAAGAAACAAACAGGCAGGCAGGCAGGCAGGCAAACAAACAAACAAACAAACAATCAATCAATCAATCAACCAATCAATCAATCAATCAATCAATCAATCAATCAACCAATCAACCAAACAAACAAACAAACAAACAAACACGCAGGCAAGCAAACAAGCAAGCAAACAAACACACTATCGTCGAACGAGTCGCCAAGCAACAAAGAAACGAATCCAACTTTGCGCCTGCACACCTTTCGAGCCACACTACCGCCCCTGCGCGTTGGGGCCAAGGCAAACATGTATCCATTTAGCTAAGGCTCAGTGTTCACTTGCGCCCACGTCTCCCGAGCACGGGCAATGCCAGAGAGAGGAATAACATCGGTTTCTGACTTGAGCTCTGGCAGGGTGGAAAGCCACGGGTCAACGTCAATAAACTGCATGGCTTGCGTCGCCAGCCGGTTCCGCTGACCCTGGTCATCCGAGGGTTGGAGAAACAGAGTGTCTGCGATGAACGCGCGAACTTGGAGGGTGGCCACTGGGTTTGTGGACAACTCCACGCCAGCAAGCTTACCCAAATCTGCAAATCCCAAGAGCTTCTGACCGTCTGCTTGAAGAAGCTCAGCTGCTTTGCGGCAGTCCTTGCCGACATCGTCGAAGATTGTAGTTGTCAACTTCATAAAGTCGGGAAATGTGCTGGCTTTGTCCTTTTCAATAGTCACCTCACAAACGGAAACAGCTGTCAACGCTAGCGTTCAAACATGGGAATGCTGGACCTGCGCGCCGTTTGGCCAAGCGGCGGCCAAGTTCCTCACTTTGGGAGGCCGAGACTGAGTCTTTGTTTTCGCTGCTGCTTTGGCAGAACTCCTACTACCCTCCCCCTGCTGCCCCACCGCCACAACAGCAGGCCCTGAGTTGCCAAGGAAGTCATCTTCGTCCATCAAGGTGGCATTGGAGAAGGCATTTCTGATGTCTTCCACAACTGCAGCCTTTGGCGCTTGCTTT